GCCAGCTTTGGAGGCTGCTATAAGGCCAATTAGGGCTCAGAAAGATGCTCTTGGTGCTGTTGGGGGACATATTAATCGTGCTGTTGTCCCTGCGACGGCGGTTTTAAAAGTGTTTGATGCAATTCATGGACTGGAGAAGTCGTTGTCTGATCCTCAATCGGACCTCCCGGGATACCTTGGTGTGCTTAAGAGGCTTGAAGAGGCATTGAGATTTTTAGGGGAGAACTGTGAGATGGCAATTCAGTGGTTGGCGGATATTGTGGAGTACCTAGAGGATCATGCAGTTGCTGATGACAGGTTTACTTCAAGTATGAAGGAGGCATTGACTTCTCTAAGGGAATTGCACAGTGGGGAGGAAAAGGGTCGGCTTGACGGAGGGCTTCTTGAGGTTGCGTTAGACAGATTGGAAAGTGAATTTCGACGGCTCTTGGTTGAAAATACTATTCCACTGCCAATGTCTGATCCAGCCTTGCCAGGTGAACAAGCCTGCATTGCGCCCTCGCCTTTGCCAGTGATGGTTATCCAGAAGCTACAGGCTATAATCGGAAGATTGATTGCTAATAACAGGCTTGATAAGTGCATATCTATTTATGTTGAGGTGAGGAGTTCTAATGTCCGGACAAGTTTGCAGGCTCTTAATTTGGATTATTTAGAAATTTCAGTCTCCGAGTTCAATGATGTGCAGAGCATAGAGGGTCACATTGCTCAGTGGGGTAAGCATTTAGAATTTGCTGTAAAACATCTTTTTGAAGCAGAATATAAACTTTGTAATGATGTGTTTGAGAGAATCGGGTTGGATGTGTGGATGAGCTGTTTCGCTAAGATAGCTGCCCAAGCAGGCATTCTTGCATTCCTTCAATTTGGAAAAATGGTTACAGAGAGTAAGAAGGATCCTATCAAGCTGTTGAAGTTGTTGGACATTTTTGCATCTTTAAACAAGTTAAGATTGGATTTCAATCGGCTCTTTGGTGGAACTGCGTGTTTGGAAATACAAAATTTGACTAGGGATTTAATCAAGAGTGTGATTGAAGGTGCTAGTGAAATCTTTTGGGAACTTCTGGTTCAAGTTGAGTTGCAAAGGCAAATGCCACCTCCTCCTGATGGCAGTGTTCCGAAACTTATCATTTTCATCACCGACTATTGCAATAAGCTGCTCGGGGATGATTATAAGTCTATCCTCACCCAAGTTCTGATTATTGAAAGAAGTTGGAAGCAGGAAAAATTTCAGGAGCGCCTTCTCATTAATGAGCTACTGAATATAATGAAAGCTGTTGACGTGAATTTAGAGACATGGTCAAAGGCCTATCAAGATGTTATTTTGTCATATGTGTTCTTGATGAATAATCATTGGCATCTATATAAGCATTTGAAAGGAACTAAGCTTGGAGGTCTGATGGGAGATTCTCGGTTAAAGGAGCATGAACAGTACAAGGAGTACTATTCTGCCTTTTTCTTGAAAGAAAGCTGGGGAAAGCTTCCTGCTTTATTAAGCAGGGAAGGTCTTATTTTGTTTTCAGGTGGGCGCGCCACCGCTCGTGATCTTGTCAAGAAACGATTAAAAGCTTTTAACGAAGCATTTGATGAAATGTATAAGAAGCAGACTAATTGGGTAATGCTGGACAAAGACCTACGGGATAAGACATGCCAGTCAATCATTCAAGCTATTGTGCCTGTTTACCGAAGTTACATGCAGAACTATGGACCATTGGTTGAACAAGAAGGAAATGGCAAATATGTGAAATATACAGCTCAATCTTTGGAAAAAGTGTTGAACAGTCTGTTTCATCCAAAACCTGTGAAACATGGTAGTTTTAAAGTCCGACATCCTAGTGGAAAATTCAGCAATGTTATAACAGATCAGAATCAGACTTCTCCGACTGTTAAGTAATCGTTAGATTGTTATCATTAAGGCAACAGTTAAACTTGACAGGTCTTCTGATGTTCATCTGTCACTCTGTGTATAGTAAGTTTCTGAAGGATTCATTCACTGCCATTTAGCCAGGTCGGATTTACAAGCATAAAGAAGCACATCCTCACCACACAAAACTGTTGACACACTGGGATGCAGCTATCCTCAACTGGCCCCTTAGTTAGATCTATGGAGGACTTTTCGGCTAAACTTATTCAATTTGTCTCACATACTTACTGATTAGTTCAGCGACAAAGTATGAAGCAGTACAGTCCCCTGAATTGCTGTTGCTGCTGTCTTGTACAATATAGGTAATTTTCATTTCTAGAGGTTTACCAATTCTTATATGTATCTTTATGATCCTTACATAATATGCAACATGTCATTTGTTCCTGTTAGATGGAAATGTTAGTTGAAGTAGAGCTCTGAGCTCTAAGCGTTAGTCGGAACGATGTTTATCAATAAAGATAATATGCTGTCTTCTTTACTAGCAATTACCATATGATATGATTCCCATTTGATAATTTGGTTATGAATATATCTTTTACTTAAGTTTCTTATTGCACTCGAGCCCTTTAGTCGACTAGCTGAGCCAATGGACCGAGTTATACAAGATTTATCTTGGAATGTCGATTTTCTTATGTTTCTTGTTAGATTATAGTATCATCCTACTAGCTTCTTGTGTTTTGGGAAGCCTTATTCACTTTCTATGCTTTTGTTTTCCATTCTCCCTATTGAACACCTTCACACCTATGTTGCTCAGACTCTTCAAAAATGTTGTTTGGTGCACGTCAGATTTGACACGAGTGCGGCAATGTTTTTGAAGAGTTCGAACAACATAGTTTCTCACCATGGAAAGGAGATTAAAACAGTACCAACAGGAAGAATAATGAAAGTTAAAAGAAAGTAATCATTCTTTTCCTCCATTCCTTTGTGTCAAATCTCTTTTTGCTTAAATTTGCCTTTCTTCTTCTCTTTACAATTATGGTTATTGAATGCTTTCTACCCTCCAATGGTAACCTTAAAACAATTATTATTCCCTCCGTCCCAAAATAAGTATCGCTTAAGCGTTAAATAATTGTCTCTTTAGGAATTTAGGATGAGAAATAGTGATTGTTTTCTATATATTTTTGTATTAGTGAACTATTTCTTCTTAATAATGCTCGATTCTCAAGAAACATCTAACAGAAAATGGGTGACTTAGTAGACTATACCTTCTATTATTGTTTTTCTTAATGAACATGAAATGAATCAGAGCGACACTTACTTTGAAATGGCGGAAATGCTACATCATTGTAACTGTCTATTGTCCGACAAGCAACAAGCATGAAACAAGAATTGCTCAAGACCATATAAGGTGACAAATAACTCATCACCCATCAGTGAGGAAACTCAATCCCTGCATTTCCACGACATGATATTTGGAGTGACCAATGTAAGATGGGGTCTAACATCGAGTGATCCTAAATAGAGATGAAGCTAACTCTGATATCTTGATTAAAAAAATAAATCGATTTTCAAAGTCTAACTCAACTCTAGAAGTATTAGCTCATGAGATGGTATTTAGATTTTAGTCACCCCTTTTGCTAATAAAAATTAGTGTTATATCTTGATCTTGCATTAACCCTATAATTTAAAATTGGAAAAAAGGAAAAAAATGATTAAATAGTGCACACACCCATCAAATGTACATCAAGCTTCTAATTTACAATAAACACAGCATTTCATTAATTAATGGGAAAATGCATAAGTACCCTTAGCCTATGCGCAAAATTTCTGAGACACATCTAGTCTTTACTAAAGTCCTATTACCCTCCGAACTTATTTTATATATAATTTTCTACTCCTTTTCGGCCTACGTGGCATTATCCTTGAAAAAATTGTCAACACGCTCTGGGCCCACGAGATAGTGTCACGTAGGTCGAAAAGGGGTAGAAAATTATATATAAAATAAGTTCAGTGGGGTAATGGGATCTTAATAAAGGTTAGGTGTGTCTCAGGAATTTTGGGCATAGACTGGGGGTACTTATGCATTTTTCCTTAATTAATTCATGCAATCCTTCAAAGAAATTTCATTCCATTTTAACTGTCGTTTTAAAATAATTGAAGGATTCAATTCTCAAAACAACCTTCGATAAGCTAAAGCAATAATTAAAATAGGACGGAGAAAATAATAATAAAGAATTGAATGGAATCTATGTGCCTAACCCATTTTTTTATAGCACAACCTTTTTGACTTTATCACTAAGCATTTCTTATATAAAAACAAGACTCTATGGGAAGAAGACAAACATCATTACATGACAAATCTCGAAACATGTTTGGTCAAATTTTGTTAGCAAAACTTAGGATCCTTTTGGACATACTAACACATTTTTTAATTTTAATTTTTTAATAGACCATTTTGATTATATATTATAGTCAAATTTGTGTTCCAACTTAAAACTAAAATTGCAAAGTTTGAAAAATAAGTTTTGATCACTTTTTTTAGTGAAAAAAAGTACTCCTAGTCGTTGGTTCCTTATAATATTATTTTTTATCGTGATAATGCTTATTCATTCAGATAAAAAAAATTGCTAAGACGATAAATACCTTCCACCTTAAATCTGGACATTTTGAATTCAAGTCATCAACGAAGTAACAAAGAAAATGAGAACTCCTATTTTTTGTTTTGAAGTCCTAAATTAGAGTACCTATTCTTCCACATTCGAAGAATGAAGGGTGTATACAATGGAAAAAAAACATTAAAAAGGTCAAATCACCCTAGATTACTAAAGAGTTTTTAGAGTATCTTTTCTTCCACATCTGAAAGATGAAAGAGGTATACAATAGGAAAAAAAACGTCAAAGAAGTTGAACCATTCTATATTACTGAAGAATCGTCAAATTTCTCAATGACATCTTTCTCTTCTATCCATAAAACTACATATTGTTTAAAGTTAGATACATATCGAAACATAATTTCAATTTTTATTTACTTTTCTTAACTTAATTTTAAATTTTCTCTTTTTTAGATATCTCTTAAATTCATATCCGAACGTTTCATGCTAATCATAGGAGTAATAAATAAATAAAAAGGTAGGAGTCAAAGATTGCGAAACTTTTCTTTTTTTCTCTTTCAACCCCTAAAATCTTTCCAAATTTACATAACAAACCAATCCCACAGCTTCCTACTCTCTACTCTTTTAACCCCTAACTTTTCCCAAATATAACTTTCACCCCTCCACTACTCCAAACTACAAAATCACCCTACAACTCTCCTCTATCTTCATTTCACTCCCTACTTCTTTTCCATTGATCCAAAATTCACCATTTGAGAATTGTTCCCATGCATCGCAACTGGCTTATGACAATGTTCACCTTCATAAGTCACAATCAGCATCGTTGGATCATCCATCGCGCGCTCCACGTGTTTCCTTGCTGGACATCCACGTAAGCTGCTACACTTGTAATAACCCCTGATCAAACAAAAAAAACACGTAAATAATCGTTCATCCAATTGATTAAACTAAATTAACGGATGTGATTGATGGTGCATTGTAATTACCTTGGGTATGCTGAACCCTTGATCGGCTTTTGCCCGTATTTCCTCCACGAAAACTCATCTGCCGGTATATCAGCAATCCTTGAACTTATCGCCGCGATTCTCATCACTTTCTTATCACGAGATTTCCTATTTTAAAAAAATCAAATCGTCAAATTAATCGTATTTCATAAGGTATGAATAAGACTACGTACATGCAATCTCTCATAAAATATAAATGTTGTGAAGTCAACAAAGACGGAGAAAAAATGATATCAAACGCGCTACAAGGAGCGTGGATATCACGCGCTATTTTTTAGTCAAAAACGAAAAAAGTACCTCTTTTTGCAGTGACACTTGCCGGAGCCGGTGGATTTGCTGCCGGAGATATCATCAGATTGTTCATGCTCACGGCAACGTTTTCCGGTGATCGGAAGATTCCCAGCCTGTGCCGGAAGCAACAACATAGAAGAAGAAGCTTGCTTACCATTCGATACAGTTGCTTCGCCGGTAATCGACGACATAAACGACGACGAGTTCGTCGGCGTCGGAGTCGCCATTAAAACCTCCTTAGATTTCACAGCAAAAGCAGTAAAAGCACTAGAATTCCCGATCGGACGTTCAACACTCGGCTTCGTAAAGTCAAGCGTCAACGCCGTCTGCAGCTGCACCGCCGGTGTCTCCTTCGCCGGAGCAAAGCTCAACGACGGAGCAAGAGACAACGTAGTAAACGAATCAGGATAAACCGGAACCGGAGCCTGAACCGGTCCACGGCGGAACCGAGCATGACCGGTCCGGTCCAAAATAGAAATCACCTTCTTAAACTTAGAAACCGTAAAATCAGCAATTTCACGGCAATCAACCTGAACCGGTTCATGAGAAACCAACCGGATTAAATGCTCCATAGATTTTAAACCGGCAGAAGCTGCTTCTTGTACAGCAAAATTTTCAGTCATTTTTGAAACTACAGCCATTTTTTTTTTCTCATGAGGAAGATGAAGTAGAAGACTGAGATATTTAAAGGAGAAAAATGATGACCGGTGACCGGTTAATCAAGCAAGTCAAATTTTCTCTGATCAAACGGCTGTGATTCATTTGATAATTTCTATGTAATTTACAAAAAGACAATAGTAACCTCACTTTCTTTGCTGGTAATAAGAAAAAGACAAATAGAGGATTGAGTTTGTTTTGATTTATGGGTTGTTTACATTAATTGAAATTATACAAATATCATATTACTTTTTTTTGACAACTCATTTTCACATTGAAAGATATTTTTGTGTAATTATCTGGTATTAGATTTTCAGTTATTCAATTATATTGTAACAGTCAACCTGCTAGTGATATTGTCTGCTTTGGGTCTAGGCCTGCACGACTTTAAAATGCGTCACTAGTTAGTTATAAGATTTGATTGCTTATATACCTAACATGTCTCATGTGTTTGCCGATATGAGACTTCTAATCTTAAGCTAGAGTCACATACACCCCCTCTATGGACTCACTCAATACCGAGGTTTGCCCCGCCTTACCAGAATTTACCTAAACTCAGTTGAACTCTAGCCCACATCAACAAGGCTGGCACATGAGTGAATTTGATACCATTTGTAATGGTCCAACCTGCTAGTGATATTGTCTGTTTTAGTCTAGGCTCGCACGACTTTAAAACATGTCACTAGTTGATAAGACTTGCTTACTTATATACCCAACATCTCTTCTGTGTTTGCCGATGTGGGACTTCTAATATTAAGCTGAGACGTCACATATATATAGCTAAAATCAAGCTTTTTAAAAATCGATAGTATAATTTGATTGATTTTTGGTGATTTACTTTTAAAATGTCATGTACAATTCATGTTATTTTTAGGAACTTTCGTTTGTTAGGTATAAGATGATAATAAGTTTTAATATATCGCATAAAGTATGTATTAAGATTATTATATAATTGATGTGTATAATTTTTACTCAAAAAATTTGTATACATATTATAAGGAGTGTGAATAGTTTGGTTCATCTATTTATTTTGTAAAAAGTATACCATGTTAAATTATTTGTAATTCAATATTGTTTCATTAAATTAAACATTTTGATATCGTTGAAATCAATTAGATTTCTCTTCAATTTTGGTGTGATTCAATTATTTTTTGGTGATTTGGAAACATCATGTAAGGTTGCAAGTATTTGGCAAAAAGCTCTCTAGCCATTTTTACTATTTAAAAGACGATGAATCAAAGAACGTAAAGAATGAAAAAATAAATAGAGATCCATATATTTATATCATTGTTATAATGTATTGAGCAAACACTAAAGAAATATAAATCATACGAGTGAAAAATATTAATTAATAAAAAACTTGAGATTTCAGAACATATTGTAAAGGATTGAGTATCCAAGAAAAATTAAATCATACAAGAGAAAAAAAAAATACTTAATACGTTGTAGTTTTCTACTCAAGATTGATGTTAAAATTAATTTAATTTCAATAGGATGTAATAGGTTTGAGAAATTAAACTTCGGGTGTTATTTACCTATTAGCTTGTAGTCGTTTCTCTCACTCTAAATTTTTAAAAAATTAATTTTCTTTTTTGATATGATATGATATTTTTGAATTTATTTTAATAAAATTTATAACATACTCTACTCTAATCATTCGGTATGATTATGTATTTATATAAAAGCCTACAATTCTATATAGCATTTTATCAAGAATTTTTATCATAAATTGAACACATTAGATATTGATAGTTTAGGAGTTATTTGATCATCTATTAAATTACTAAAATTTGATTAAACTTTGAAAGTTATATTATGCAATACAAGAGTAATGTTAGATTAACAAACAGAAGATATTTGTTAAGTATAATTGGTGGGGGGTTATGTAAGGATATTACATTAAATTATAATGTCCATTTTATATTTTTTTAGCAATTTTTATTTATTTTAACAACTAATATAAAATTGGAGTTAGAATGTTCTTTTTTTTTTTTTTTTTTTTGGTATTTCTGTTTATGAGTGAAAAATGCAAAGTTAAAGATCCATTATCCCTAATTAATCAAGTACATTTTTTAAAAGTTAAAGTTCAAGGTTCATTTTCCTCTAATAATTAATTAGATTCGTTTTTGAAATTAAAGATAGTCCAAGTACATTCCCCTGAATAAAATGATTTTTAATTTGCTATCCAAAAAGTAAAACATATTACATTAGATTATAAGTATATGTCCATTTTTATTTATCTTTTAACAATTTTTGTACAAATCTCTAAATTCCAAAAATAATTTCAGACCTCTTTTTGATCAAAATATAACCGTTGAAACTATTTTCACATTTCGAAACTTATCTCATACTTTATTATTCTGCGATGATCAATGTTGAGACATTGATATATCTATATTTCACAAATAAAAGGATGGAACTCTTAATGATATCACTATGTCGCATTCATAGTTACGATTTTTTTTTATCTTCGCTTGATAATTGATATTCATTTTGAGATTTGACTTATTTAGATTCGTGTCTGAAATTTTCACTCTATAAGATAAAACATTCATAATTAATTAGTATGATTAGATTATTGTCTTGTCATATATTAATTGAAAAAAATAAGCAATTTTAAGTTTAAACATTTCTTGTATCTTCACCATACCATTTACTATAGTGTGCCACCAAATAATAGAAGCATTATTATATTCCAAGAAGTAGAATTAAGTACCAAATAAATTTAAAACAATATCTTTCTAATAAAAAAAATTGGTTGGACCAAGTAGGATGCAACAAGGCTATAAAGTCTCTAATATTTTATAATCTTAGAGTTAAATTTGTTGAACCATATATAATATTGATGCAAAATCAATCTAATAATTTTAAAATATACATGGATAAAAAGATTATTGCAAATAAAGCATATATATCCAACATGTTGCAAAAAAATCACAAAAAATCTTCCAGAGATAAAATAAGGGTTGCTGGGATCCAATAATCAATTAAAAATTATAATTACTTGTTTTTTTGCTTTTTACCTACTTTTAAATGATTCCTAGGATCATTGACTAAACAAGATCATAATATTAAAATGTAAGTCACCACTCCACTTGTATGTATTATATTATAATAGGTAACAAAGGTAGTACTAATATTTTATGTATCAAATGAGAGATCAACAAGTGCCATGGTCGGATTCATATGATAAAATTAACTCATGAAAATATTAAAAATAACTTTTACAATCGTTCATCAAATAATAATCAATAAATATTTATTTTTATATAAATACACACACAAAACAGTGTATATAATTTGTGTATATTTAACTAACGAATTTAATTATTGTTTGGACACTTAGCAAAATATATATGTTAACTTTCCAAAAATGTTATTCATACGAGCCATTCAAGTTTAGCTTGATTAACGACACACTTATTTGTTAAATCATTCTATTTTGATTTGTCCAATTCAGTCATTCTATAAGTTGGGCTGATATATCATTCATATGATATTTGTAACTGTGATTAAAATAAAATTTGATATAAACTCGACAGTTAGCCCATGACACATTATTTAACCCGTTTGATCCAGTTTATTCGGTCCACATTATAATTCATTTATTAATTCAGTCCATTTTGATACAACTTAAATTCAACTTAACTTTCTCATTTAACCCTCTAGTAGGATGAACGGGATGCTCAACTCTTATTTAAAGATCTTATACTTCAAGTCTTGAAATGAAAAAAATATCATAGTAAAATTATTTTTTCTTTTTAATTAATTTTATATCATGTAAATCTAAATTAATTGAAACCCCAAAATTAACCGAATGAAAACTTAAAAAAGGTATCAAAGAAGAGAATAAAATCTTTAAACGATTTGACTTATTTGTACTTTTCTAATTAAGAAACAATACACGAAGCTACATTTGACATTGTTATTATTATTATTATTCAAAGGACAAATATACCTCTGAACTATCGTAAATGGTATGCAGATATCTTCCGTCATATTTTTGGGACATTAGTGTAACCGCCGTCCAAAAATTAGAGCGTATAAACCATTTACTCTAACGGAAGACTATATAGCGTATAAACCATTTATCCGTCGGATCGGCAGATAAGATTATGACACGTGTATGTCCGTTAGTATAAAGAGTATATATGCTCTAGTTTTTGGACGGCAGAGACACCAATATTCCAAAAATATGACGGATGATATCTATATACCATTTACGATAATTCAGGGTATATTTGTCATGTTTCCTTAATTAAATAAAGTCATACTTACTTAAGCTGACTCTTTGTGGAAAACCATATGGAAACGTATTTGCTTTTTGCCTATTCGTTGACTACTTATTTTTCTAACCGGCTATGGCCGGTAATGGCCGGTAATGGCTTCATATAAATCCTGACCGTCCATTACCTGAAGTGAGATTGGACGGCTGAGATTCACTAATAAGAGTTGACCTTGACCTTTGTTTAATTCTAGAAAACATCAACTATATTGTACCACTAAGATTATATAAGAGTAATTATTTTTAGTTATAATAATGATATTCGAGTCAATTTATATTTGCTTTGATTCGATCTTTGTTATTATCTTCTAATAATATATATTTGCCTATTAATATTTAGGCATGAAAAATTTAATGTTGTTAGTTTTTAGGTTTCACTTTATAGTTTTTTTGTAGATTATTGTAACAAACAAGATTCTTTTGTAAAAACTTAATTTGTTGATATCTTCTAATATATAAGAGTAATTATTTTTAGTTAATAATGATATTTGAGTCAATTCATATTTACTTTGATCCCATCTTTGTTATTATCTTCTAATAATATATATTTGCCTATTAAAATTTAGGCATCAAAAATTCAATGTTCTTAATTTTTAAGTTTCACCAGATTATTTTGGAACGAACAAGATTCTTTTACAAAAATTAAATTAATCAAGGTTCTTTGTTAATATCTTCTAATATATATTTGTACAACTAAGATTACGTAGGAGTAATCTTTGTTTTCACTTGAAA